AGCGTACTAGTGTACTAGCGTACTAGCGTACTAGCGCACCAGTGTACTAGCGTACTAGCGTACCAGTGTATTAGCGTACCAGTGTACTAGCGTACTAGCGTACCAGTGTACTAGCGTAACAGCGTACCAGCGTACTAGCGTACTAGCGTACTAGCGAACTAGCGTACTGTCGTACTAGCGTACTAACGTACCAGTGTACTAGCGTACTATACTAATGTACTAACGTACTAGCGTAATGGCTAGCGTTCGCATCTAATTTCGTACCAATCTCGTACCCAGCGCCACTGTCCCTCTTACTCACAGGCTCACAGGCATGCTCACAGCATGCGCAGTAAGAGGGGCAAGTACAGCAGACTCATGCGCAGACTCATGCGCAGTAAGAGCGACAAGGGTACTTGCTTGAAATGGCGCCGAAGCGAAAGAAGGTGAGAGCTTCTCAATTTATGCCTGATAATGTAAGAGAAGAAGCTTCGAAACAGTGTTTTTTAGAGCAAAAAGTGGAACTGGTCATCAGAGGTTTCAAGGAAATCGACTTAGATGAGTTTCTGGCGAGGCAGATCGAGATCACTGAGGATGATGCTCTGCTATTGATATCGGGAAAGATATCATTTAGAACTGTCTTCTTTTTAGAAGGATATTGAGGCACGTACCACAAAGCTATTGCAGAACAAGTAAAAGCAAAGGTTTATCGCTGCGAGTAGAGTTTCTTTACAATATTTHATTGTCGAACGGCATAGAAATGACATGCGATAAGTTTGAAGTATATGTTCGATTTCTCGAAAGTTATTGTCCGTCATTCCTGTATCAGTCTGACGACGAAACATTCCATGAGAGTTTGTGGAATCTTTCCAGAGAGAAGGAGAACTTATACAATAGGTTTTTAGCTCCACCAGTTAAAGAGTGCCTGTCATGCGGTCGTGCCTTGTCAACCTACAATCCACCCACAAAGGCCGTGGTTTACGGTATAAAAGGACCAGTCCCTTCATCCAAGGTGACATTSGAATGCCGTACTTGCAATATCAAGTATGGCATAACAAGATACACTGACGAAAAAGGGCGACATTTTTACTCTTGTGCTACAAAAAGTGACCTTGTAGAAATAAGCAACGTCACGTACATGGAGTACGATTTATATCGCTGGATACCATTACTTGGGTAAGTTCCATGTTCATAATATGCACCTATCAATGTCTTACGGGGGAAGCCTGGCAATCACATTCTTACAAAGAATATAATTCTGTTACTATGCAATTTTAGTTGTTAAGTTGGTGCTAAAATTTCCCTTGGGGGCTGGGCATATTTTTACCTTATATTCTCCACACAATTTGTCCCCATTAGTCAGGCATTTTAATCACATACAGCTAAGATAACAATATAAATCCCCGACTGTTTCCTCTTGGTGGGTTTCATTTTGACTCGTAACTTAATCAGTTGTTTCAAATTATTTTAAATCTCATTTCCAGTACCCCTGTCCCTCTTAATTACTGTRCATGCAAGCTCGCAATGGCTCTGGAATAAACCACCAGAAGTCAGAATCAGTCTAAGACAGCACTTGTGCAGTACAAGACATTTAATTAAGAGATTGGGCTTAAAAAGCCTTCGAAGTCAAAGCAGTGATTCAGAGTCCTCAATTGATAAATCTATCTTCTTTGAATCTATTTCAATGATATCTGCTATGATCAGATTGTAGAATAATGTATGAGTCAATTCCAAAGGTGCCCATCCCCCCCTGGGCAAACCCCGGGCATTTGACACGACTTTACCTCCGTACAGTGGGGCATTTGACGAGTAGGCGACCATCTTGGAAATTATCGATTCAGATGCGAAACCGCTATTTCGTGACACAATACGAACTTTTAAGCTTAAGTTAAAAATAAAAATATCTCGGGAACCTAAGCATTTTAATAATAATAATAATACGTATTATCTATATAGCGCCGATATCCTTACAGTTCAAAGGCGCTTCACATGATCTGCAGTATTTTTACCGATCGCTATTAGTGCAGCCACGAGGCTTACAATATCATGTTTGGGAACATTGTCGATCTTTTGTACTTTCACGATGAGAAATAACGATATAAAAAGCAACAAAAACACTCGCAAACTAGCGTAAAAAACTGACTTATGGGGCGGGCATTTGACTGTCAATTTTGCCCATATGGTGGGGAATTTGACCACTTTTTTTTCGAATTTCGAAAAGTCAAATGCCCGGGGGTTCGCCTGGGGGGGGGGGGGGGGGGGGGGGGGGGGGGGGGGGGGGGGGGGGGGTAATGGGCACCTTTGGAATTGACCCATACATAAGAGAGCTACAAAATTTTACTGTATTCCAGATCAATTGTTTTTTTGTTTTTTTTTTGTCAAGCTTGTGTACTAGTTACAAGCGCTGGGACGTGGCCGCTGGGAACAATCGCGTTATTAGAAAAAAAACTATGAGCAAAAGATTTGTCTATTAATACTGAATATTACTGTTATATTCTATTACAATTTGCTGACATACATTTTTTAATATCCTGTTTTTTTGTGTAACTATTTTGTCGTTTCCACGTTTTTAAAGGAATCACTGCTGGGTGTCTTTTTCTGGTTATTCTGAAGCATTCAATGAAGTGTTCTTTGATAGAATAAAAGAGGTGTCATTAGTCTTAAGAGGTATGTATATTTCATGACCTAATTTATATTTTAAGTTGAAAAATGCATCCTTTAGCCACTGTCAAAGTATAAATTTAATTTGATTAACATTTATCAGCTCATCAACTTGAAGACCAAGATGATGACTCTCAAAAATTAACCAGCAGATTAGGCGGTAAGTTTGTTTGCCATAACAATTATCAAAATAAGAAAGTGTGACTAAGCTGGTTTTTTTTTCTTTTTTTTTCTGGAAATATATATATTTTTATAAATTTGTGCAGTACTTAAGTTGACAATTGAACAATTCTGATTTGTGTTCAAATTTATGGGGCTTTATTATTTAATTTGACTAAAACCAAATAAATTATAATAAGTAAATATGTATGATTATACTTATTTYAGAACATCAATTGAAAGAGCAAAGTGATGACACTGCAAAAGAAACCAGTGGATTATGTGSTATGAACAATGTATTGGACATAAAGAAAATTGTAAAACAAATAAACACTACATACCTATACTGCATTATTCAATTTATATATTTTGTAGTCCACATTAACAGCTGATAGTTTTCTTGCATCACTATATTTTTCAAAGGCCTTCACAACAACAATAACAACAACAACCCTATAATAATTCATTTGAAGTTTTATATTATGTACACTGCAAAAGCCAGTGCTGTAMAGTAGTGCAATACAAAAAATATATGTATAAATTACATGTTACTTTTGTTGCTAACAGGAAATATACCCGGTGAATTAACAAGCAAGGCAGTGGCAAMGGCATATTGGACACATGAGCTGGAAGAGGAACTGGGGGAACAAGGAATGAGAGACAAATGGGTTTTCACAAAGAGTAATCAGCCTGATAAGTACATGCGTAGTGAGGAAGATGCAATAGAGTACATTTCTAAAATAAGAAGTAAAAGTCTTTACTCTCATACTTGCTCAACACACTGTAAAAGTAAAGGTGAACGAATAAATTTTCATTCATTAATTTACTAATTTCTTTATATTTGTTAAATTATTTTTTATGTAATAAATCCTTATATTTTTCATAATCACATCCTTCATTAATGATACATTCAAAACAGGTTGCGGAATTTTGTATGCGGCTGATGGAAATTGGAAACTCAAGTATCCACACTGTATGTTTAAAGTGCCAGTTAAGATTGGATCCTTCAAAGAAGCAGTGAATTACCCAGATGTCTGTCCTCTTTCACCAGTCCGTGGACATGCATTTTGTGAACAACATTGTAAAGTTGCTACAAAAGGCGGCATTCCAACTAACTGGTTTACATGATTTTCTTCATTTTTGTGGCAAGACAAACAAACCAGGTTAAGACATTTAAATGATTCTGGTTTTATTGTTTGCTCACAATATTCTGCTTTTAATGCAGATTTGTTATTTTCTTGTTTCCCTATTGTTTTTGTACTTTTTGAACAAGTACATGTAACAGTGTTATTTTATTGTTAGATGTATTGCTCAAGAGTATAGTTCTAATTGAATCTTTTTTTATATGTACATTAGGCCGCCCTCTTCAAGCTCCTGTAGATATTGAGGACGGGATTACAGCTGATGATATAGATGAAAAGCTGAAGACAATAACAGCACAACACTCTTCGAATACACTCATTCAAGAGATCAATGCTGCATCATATCAAGGTGTTTATATATTATAATAGTGATATATTATTAAAGACCAAGTGCCATAGAAAATTATRCATGAAAATGGTTTCATTTTATTGTAATTTACATAGTAAATAAACAATACAAATAAAAATATACAAAATAGCAAAAATATTAAATTGAARTAACTCTCAATCGACAAATCCACCATAGTGGATGTGACGTCATGGGTGGTACTTAAGTATATTTTTTTCTCTTTATTTATTTTATTTAAACCAGGTCATGTCTGTGGTGGTGTATTTGATTATGATGATACATGAGCTGTTGGTATTGCATATGATCTAGTCTGTTTCTAAAATCAAAGTTTAACAAGTGCAAGTACCACCCGTGATGTCACATCTGCTATCGAACAAAGCAATGAAGGGCGTGTTTAAAACTCAAATTGAAATATTTTTACAGCAATTATTTACAAGGTTAAAGTACCTATGACGCGTGACAAAATAATTTCTGATTCTCTGTGAGCTGATTCTATATAAAGTAAATAATTGAATGGTGAAATATTCCTGCATTTCAKTGTCGCGTCTTTGAGTTTTGAAGGTTTATTCTTTCAATATGCTAATGATAATGACGTCAAGGGAGGCTTCATTAGATATACGAACTTTGAAATGTTTTCATGAAYGCCATCTGGGAATATGGTTATTCCCTACATTGCATACGATAAATTTAATGCCATAAAACCATTTTTAAGCGACTCCTTCAAAATTTGCATATCTAATGAAGCCTTCTTTGACGTCATTTTCATTAACATATTGTAATATTAAACCTTTATAACTCAAAGACTCAACACTGTAATGCAGGAATATTTCACCATTCAATTATTTATTTTATATAGAATCAGCTCACAGAGAATCARAAAWWTTTTTSTCAGTGATTTTCAAMAAAAAAATGTGGGTCCGTYTTATGGCACTTGGTCTTTAAGTATATTAAACTTTATAAAACTTATGAATAATTACTCCAATAAGGGCTGTCCATTTAATCAAGTGATTGCCATTGTAAATCTGATAAAACACTATGATACAACACTAGTGTTGTATAAGATTTACAACACGGTCGTCACCATTGAGACAACCCAACACTAGCAAAGGCCTCAGTTTTAGTATCGCATCATAAACTTTCACTAGATTGCTTGCTTTCAATGCGGGATGAATAGTTATTCAAAATGTTCTGTGTTGCAGCAAATTGCAGATGCTTAATAGCGACTAAAATGCAGTTACATTATTTGTCATTATTTTTCATTTATATCACTGTAATAATGTTAATTAATTAGTGTTGGAGTTGCATAAGTTTGTTTATGCTGCGACTCGAGATTGTAATTCCCATACAACACGCCTGCTCAAGTTGTAAACTATACTAAACATGACACAAAACAAGTGCAAAACTACATGTTAAATCTTAAGGCAGCTATTTCAATATAAATATTGATAATATGAATTAAAATAATTTGCAAATTAATTGAAAAGGTACTGAAGATTTCATCAAGTCAAATATGAACTTTCTGGAAGAGTGCCAAGAAGTTGTCCAGTCATCATGCAACAAAGATACTGGAGGACGGAAGACTCTTCAGAGCTGGTCTCGAGGTGTTTTCTTTATTGTGAGTGGTGGTGGACATATAGAATATTGGCAGCCATTGTACAGGTAGGCAACACTCCAAGGAGCATAACAATTTTGATACTAATCTTTCTTGATTGTGGTTTGATGAAAAGAAATGTAAAAATTGAAATATTTCTATGTTTTGGAGGTGATTAAAGTTCAGAATGGCTTTTTGGGGTTCCTGTGCTTCTTGTAATGGGAGTCCTAATGAGACCATACATTCTGTGGTGCCCTTCATTGTTAATGAGAGTTKGCTGAAATATTCAAATGATTATATCTACCAATTTTTTTTTTTAATTTAAAAATTCTAACTAGTAACTAATTGATAATTAACAAACTAGTATAAGTAAGTACATTTTCTTCATCTGACCCCCCTTACCACTGTTTTTCTTTAAAGATCTGAATCACCTACACAGGCCTTCCTTATTTTGGTTTTATGGCTTTACAAGAAATTTAAGGCAATGGTTGATGCTGGTCTGTCAGCTCAAGAGTTAGAAAAACAAATGGAGAAGACCATAGTGGCATATGATAACATGTGTCATGTTGATGGCATGAAGGTCTGCAGGCAAGATCTCCCCTTTCCAGAGCCACTCAACAAGGTTTGGAAGTCTGTTGTGAAGGTTATAGACTGATTCAAAGAACTGCACTTTTGGGTCAAACTCTTTGATACACATGCTTTACGGTAGTAGTAGTAGTAATAGTTGTAGTAATTCGAAACCTAAGATATATTAAGTTACAAGAATCACTATACAAACATGTTACGAAATAGAAATTACAATGTTTTTTGCTTACCCTGTAACGTAGCGTACAGAACTTTGAATGAATAATATGCTTATTGTTCTGCGCCTTATATATATGTATCTATTTGCATATTTGGCGGTAAACGAAATTATCATTTTTAGCGCGAAACATTCCGGCCCTTAACTTGAAATGACGTTTCTAACAAAAAACTGATGAGTTATACTATTAAATAAAGCGTTCAATAAAGTTCAATGTTCTCAAATGTCTAAATTCTTCTCAATGGGACTTCTCGGTACTAGTACAACCAGTCTTTGGACYGCTCTTTGCACTGTTGATGGGGTATTGTTGTCTGACTTGTACGTGACGTCTGCCTTTCTTATTTTTCCTCTGTTGTCAGGATACACTTTGATGATTCTTCCGATTTTCCAATTGCCACGAACTTGGTTTGAATCTTGAATGATAACAACATCGTCGACCATTACGTTTTGATGTTCTGTGTGCCACTTAGTACGGATTGTTAAGGATGGGAAAAAGTCTCTTGTCCAGTGTTTCCAAAATGCATCACAGATTCTTTGTACGAACTCCAAGCGAYGTCTTGTGTCGTTGGTCTCATTGAAGGGTCCACTGGGCGTCCTTGTCGTACATCGTCCCAGTAGAAGATTATTAGKGCAGAGATAATATCCATCATCGGTAGAAGTTGGGTGTCGTCCAATTGGGCGTTCATTAACTAAATTAGCAGCTTCGAAAAATACGGTTTGCAATTCTGAGAAGGTCATGACGTTGTCTTTAACGGCTACTGCTAGGGCTTTCTTGACCGACTTTATCAGCGATTCGGTTACTCCGTTTCTCCAGGGTGCATCTGCCGGTGTGAATTTCCATTCGAGCTCGTGCACAACTCCAAATTCGTGAAGTTTGCTCCAATCCCAAGATTTGGTCATCTTTTGAAGTTCTTGATTGGCTTTCACTAGTTGGGGACCATTGTCGSATAACAAGGTTCTTGGGAATCCTCTTAGACTTGTGAATCTGCGGAGCACCATTAGGAATTTCTCTGTAGAGTAATCAGCTGCTACGTCGACATATGCCGCTCTAGAAGTAAATATTACTCCATAAGCTTTTCCGGTTCTTTTCTTTACAGCGTCTCTTATTTGGAAGCACAATGATACCATGGCGGCGATGGCTTGAGACGTTCGAGGGGTAGTTGGCCCATCTGCTGTTTGACTAACTCTTTATCGAGCTTCTTACATGTGACGCAATTGAACTTGATTGACTTTACAAGCTTGTGGATACCAATGATCCAATACTTTGTTCTTATCTTGCAAACTGTWGAAGATACTCCAGAGTGGCTTTGTTGATGTACGTGTACGGCGTAGAGACGTGACAATGCGTGCTTGTATGGCAGAAGGATGATTTCGGTTTGATTATASCTGTCATTCGCCCAGTTTTCTAGGCGCCCCTTGACAATAATGACACCATCGCTTCGTTTATGAGGACAAAGTCGTCTTAAATTCTTGTCTTTGACGTTGATGTCCCTTTGAGCTTCTTTGATCCAAAGCGTTTCAGCCTTTTCCATGTCATTARTCTTTGGATACTTACAGGCATTCTTGAGACTTGGTTTGTCTGAAGTGTTAGATCCGTATATCGCTAGGATGCGTGCAGTGACTCTGATTAACTTGGCGTAAGATGAGAACCTTTCAATCTTTATTCTTGAAACTAAATTGTCGACAGGTTTCACATTAAGGTTCATGACAAACTCTGCTTGTGRTACCTCAGAACAGTTGTTACTGATTGGCCATTCATTTTCTGGTTTCTGGAGGAATTCGGGGCCATTTTGCCAAATGCTGCTTTCATCTATTTCACTTGGAGACTTTCCTCTTGTTAAGTAATCGGCAATGTTTTTCTCTCCTTCTATCCAATACCAATCAGCCTGGTTGGTACCTTCTTGTATCTCTCCGACCCTTGTTGCYACAAAYGTGTTGTATCCATATGATTCCTTTTGTATCTGAGCTTGGACGATCTGCGAATCCACAATGTGATAGATCTTCTCGAATTTCCATCTTGTCTCTTCTTCGATKAATTCTTTGATTCTTTTGTTGAGCACTGCTGCGCACAGCTCTAGACGGTCAATGGACGTTTGTTTCATGGGTGTGAGACGATTCTTGGATAGAATTAGTCTGGATGAAAAACTGTCGTCGATTTTTCACCTGACATAGGCACAAGCGCCATAGGCGTCTTTTGATGCGTCGCTGAATATGACGAGTACTGGCAGTCCTTCAACTGTAGTTGGCTTGAGGCATCTTCTGACCGAGATATTCTCCATTTCGAACAGGCTTTGGAAGAATTGTAGCCAATCGTCTTTAAGTCTCGTTGGAATTGGTTCGTCCCAATCAAGATTTGCGTTTTCTGTCCAGAGCTTTCTCATCATGATTTTGGCTTTGACTGTAATTGGGCCTGCCAGACCAAGCGGATCGTAAATACCGTTCACTTGTGATAGAATCATTCTCTTTGAAAGCTGTTCTGGAAATCGACGTGGAACTTCATTTGTTTGAATGTCGGGTTCTGCATGCAGTTTTCTTCTTTTCGGGGAAAAGTTTAGCTTTATCTTGTAGTGAAGGTTGTCTGTCGAAGGATCCCATAATACTCCAAGCACTTTCTCTTTGATTGATATAGTTGGGTCAATCGAGCAGATATCTTGTTCTGTAGTGACTTCAGAYGTTTTTGATATCGTCCAGCATTTTATGTTGAAGTTCCCCCTTTCGTCAATGTTTCTTGTCAGGGTTGTCGCTTCCTCTTTACTGGAGACACTGTCAATGATGTCATCCATGTATGAGTTGTTGATCACGGTCTTAGCTGCTTGTGSGTAATTTTCCTGGCTCATTTCTGCAGTCTTTCGCATGGCGAGTGTAGCTATGGCACCAAATGGCTTGTCGCCAAAGGAGACTCGTTGAATGATGTAAACATCTGGGCTTCTTTGCACGTTCACATCTCTCCACAAGAATCTGTGAGTGCGTTCATCGAAAGGACTGTTTTTCACTGAATGATACATCTTTTTCACATCTCCCACCAGGCCAACTTCGTCTTCTCGAAATCTCAGGAGTATGCCAAGCAAGTTGTTCAGCAAATCAGGACCCTTTGCCCAGTAGTCATTTAGAGAGTGTCCTTTGTAGTTAGCGCTACTGTTGAACACGATGCGCACAGGCGTGGACGAAGATTCCGGGCGTAGTACTTCATGGTGCGAGATATAGTGTATCGGGCCACTGTAGTCTTCTAATTCTTTCTTGGTGAGCTTTCGTGCGACAC